ATAAGTCTTAACTACAACTAATACAGTTTTTCCAATAAATGACTAGTTTTGCCCCATTTTAGATCCAAACTAATTTCAGATATGAAATCAGCATTGCTTATTATATACCCTGATGAAGTTTCATCGTGCGCCGCGATCTACAAGATCAACTAAAAAAGTCCAAACTACACTCAATACAGTTTTTCCAATAATTGACGTACTTTTAGGTTAAAAATATGTTCATATATGTAATCAGCATTGCTTTTTTAGTATATAAACAATTTTTCATCATGAAATTCTGCTTTTTCCTCATCAAGTTTCATTATTTCTCTACCATGAATTTTCTTTGTTTTTTTCGTGAATATCTTACGAACGGTACCTCGGATCAAAGAATGGTTTAGATTTTTAAAATCAGCATAAAAATACATTAGAAGAAGTACGTCCCGAAGTGTTCTGAAAATAGGCAACTTTTGACATCCTCCTTTGTCTCATTAATTTTTATTTGATAAGTCACAAGATGTCAGATGTAGAAGTAAGAAGTGTGTGAAGATTGTAAAAATAATATCTGATCCACTTTTTTACTTTACTTTACTTTTTATCAGGATAATGTCGTACATAGTGCTTTGCGTGATATCGATGATGAACATATGAATGTCTTGTCTCAGAGGGTAAGTTAACTTACTAGTCTTTATTAACGGTCAGTATTAACGCTCTGTTTTCATTCAAGGTTTCGCCAGCTACTTCACCAAAGACTCCGAAGGTTCTGTACAGCTCTAAAGCTTGTAGGCGAAAAAAACACAATCGGATGCATCGACGTCTAAAAAACACTGCTGTGAATTATCAAAAGACGATTGCGACTACATTGCAGCTCGAGTATGGAAGCTGCTTCGAGGTGGATACAAGCAAATACTGGAGGCGCAATTGGTAAATTTGCAGTATTAACATGGCCATCTCACCTGACAGCAACTTTGTTTATTATATACGAAAATAAAGTGGTAAAGCTAAGAAATGAATAACTTTTTCAAATAAAGACTTCATTCATTAATGAATCGATAGGGTTTTACTATAACATATGATAGTTATACATAAAATATGCTTCAATTGGAAGCTCAATTTGATTCCACGTCACAGACTCCTTCCAGGTAATGGCATGAGTCGTAGAAGCACGGACTTTTCAGGAGTCGCAATTTAAATTGAATTTTGGTTATTATTTCGTTAAAAAATGGCCTCGCCCACTGAATAAACTCTAGATCTGGAGCAATTTCTCGATGATTTCAATTTTGCAGATAGTCTGGGAAGTTAGTTATAATTATAAAGAAATGAAGAAATAAAGAAAAGTTATATTATTTTATAGCTTCTTTGTATGAATGTAACTTACCACAGGGTAAGGATGTCTGAAGTAGTCACATTTACTGCAGTTGGATTCTCTATTCGATTTTTGTTTAGGGTCGCCACTTCGCTTTCTTTTGCAAGCCTGAAAATAAGCATAAATAAATAGAATCAGTTAATTGTCAGCATCAGGTAAACAATTTTTTACTTACCACCGGCTTATTACAACGATATAATTTGTGTAGCTTGAATTTAACAACTTTCGATTGTGATGTTTGTACCCATGAGCTCCCTAGAGATGTGGTGCTTCAACTTGACCAAGGCTTTGCAGACCGAATGGACGCTTTTGCAAAGACGTCTCCGAGGAAGACAAGGCTATCTCTTTGGAGATATTCGCATAAAAAAATTATTTTGACCTGTTTCTCCCGATCGCACAGTGGCTAATCCTTATCGACATTTTACCCTGGTCGCCATGATCTCCTCATCAGCATTGTTGAATTCAAAGGCAAGAGGGTCGGAGTTATAAATTGTCACAATACCAGCAGTAGTACGGGCATTATTTACGATTTTCTGACTTCTGCTTTCGCAGCAGCAATACGTTTACAGACTGGCGGAACCGATTCTTCTGGACAAAAAATAAAGCCAATGGATGCAATTGTGTGGGCAGGAGATTTGTATATTAAAAACATCTTTTTTTGCCGGAATATCGATACTAAAAAAAATATCACAACCCAGAAAAAGGAAATTTTACTTTGTTACCTCATATAGAAAACTGAATTAGTTCTTAGAAACTTTAAGGACACAAAGAGAAAGTATGAAATTGATTACCTCATGACCAATAAAAACCTTGCCAATAAAGGAGATTTAGTTTGTGATTTACCAAAAGGTAATCCATCTGACCATCCAGCTTTTGGAGCTACTTTTAATTTCACATGAGATATCGTTCCTTGTGAATTGTGGCTTCGACCCGAAAATCTTAATTGTGATTGGCTGCAATTAAAATCAAATGTTACGTATGCAATCCATGCACGTGAAGCAGTGCCTGCTGTGCTGGAACATCGTCGATCTCTTCGATGCTAGAGTCTTGCATTGTAATTCTTCTTCGACTTTTTGTAAGAAATATCATTAAATGATTCGCTGTGATCTTTCCCTTGCAATATCTGGCTTGGGTTTTACTCATCACTGCTAATTAATCTTGTAAAACATTATTAATTATTATTTTAGTGAGACAAATTATAAAAAACATGTAAACATTGTCCATTTAAAATGAGACAATCATTCTTAATCAGTTATATATCTTTTAACCATTCAAAAATCAGACCAGACTCGATCTTAAATCAAAGCAATCATGAATAAATTTCAATTCATCAAATTTTCATTTTATTTTCACCAACCATTACTTGATTTTTGGTAGACTTGGGTATTTTATTTAATATAAATTTTATTGTGAATAAAACAGATTATTCAGATAAAGGCAAATTCAAAGAGGACAAAAACTAACTGAACTAATTCGTTGAGAGAATAGCGAATGAATGATAAATTAAGTTTGTATTTGTACAGCCACAGTAAATATTGAAGGGCGATAGTATCATTTCAAGAGTTATCCAAACTCTGGACTGACTATTTGACCACGATGTTTTCTTCAGAACTGTGATTTAATTGTTGGAAAGGCCAGAATGATTGTTATACAAAGAGTAATTAGAGAAGTGACGAATGATGCTGTGATGGTGAAAAGATTAGCAAATGTAAGTCCAATATCATTACGGCCCATTCTGTATATTAGCAATGAAGTCTGAAAAATTTTAAAACATATAGTGAATAATAATTAATCAAATGTTTTAAATGTAAAACATAGTCAGTCAAATAAATTTTGATTTTGCATTTGTAAAATTCATTTGCATAATCATTTTACATTTCTGTAATTTGTTAGATGATTTAACCAATCAATACTTAATTAATTTTCTTAGACAAGTATGAAAACCAACTTGATTATATTTTAATATTCAAATCATTGATGTAATTAACTAATAAAATTAAGTGTAAATCTCATTAGCAATCTTTTGAATTTATTTGAATTGAAAATCATGGTTTAAAGTCTTACCTCTGCAAAACTGCTTGGGCAGTTTTCAGTAAATGTTAATTGATATGCATGATGAAAGCCCTTTGAAGCCAAATGATTTATTTTAATTGCATAATAAGTAAAGATTGCAGTCATCGAGATGACAACAAATTGTAAACCAATTCCAGCAAAATAATCAGACAATGATTCTGACAAGAAAATGATGCTATAAAGATTAATCAACATGAATGAAATCATGATGAAATAATTGACTGCAGTAAAGTAGCGAATGAATTGATCAGCTTTTAGAGTCAATTGTGAACCAACACAGTGCATAAAACGAATCGATTTAATGTTGCCATCAATTGAATCGGGATGTTCAATCAGATGCTCGAGTCGTTGATTAACACGGATAAATACGGTGCAAATGATGAGTGAAAATTGTAACGGGAAATCAAAAGCTAAACTGAATAGAGCGGGATAACTGAAACTTATGCTTATAACTGCTATCAATTGATATACACTCATTTGGTGCAGTCTTTGACCATAACGTGGATTGAATAAAACAACTGTAACTGCAAAAACGACAACAAGAATAATTATGATGAGACGATACTTTTTACGTTCACTTTTGATGTATTAGGTTGGCCGGATACAGTTTAGGGTCGAGTTTTATTTTATTGAAATTCATGTGATTATCGCGCAGTGATGAATATTAATACTTTAGCATCTTACATATCCATGCATTTTTGCAGTTACCAAAAATTGGAGTATCGCCATTAATTGCTGAGA